TCAAACGGTGTATAGATATACAACAATAGATAGATAGATAGATAGATAGATAGATAGATAGATAGATAGAAACATGCTGACATAGACAGATAGATAGAAACATGCTGAGATAGACAGATAGATAGACAGGAACAGGATGAGATAGATAGGTAGGAACAGGCTGAGATAGATAGAGAGATAGATAGATAGATAGATAGATAGATAGATAAGAAATGGAGAAACGAGATAAAAAAGAAAAAATCCGTAATTATACAACTGTTTGAAAGAAAACATAACAGACAAAACATCACTAAAATTGTCGTTTAATACTATTTTACAGTAACGCTCACTCTGTACAAGGACCGGAGGCCACTTATATAGATAGGAGGAGAAGATAACGCTTAACCCAGGTTAAGACTGTAGTGATCGGGGAAACATACCCTAGGGAATCTGTTCTATAGGGCAAAGGTTAGCGAGAAAAAAAAAACTGTTTCAGTGGAACATAATACTCACCAATGGAATATGGATGTGTTGCTAAAATGCAAGTAGTATGTCGGATCCTTGCCGTGAAGGTCTGACCGGATGAAACCAGGAGATGCAGTTCGTCTGAGCACTTTCCGTGGTCGTAGTGATAGAGCAGAGAAAGACCCATCACATCCCGACAGTGAGAAAGATGTCGGAAGCTGGATATATGGCCAAATATGGCATCAGTAATCCAATTCGGCCTGATCTAGCACTTGTAAAGGTAGAAGAGAGCATGAGGAATCAGGTTCTTACTGGAGCGGTACAGGAAACCGATTGTTTTACCGGCATCGTTAGCTATGTATCGTATACAGGAATTTCACTTGATGTCGGGTGTTAGTTTGAGGCCCAATATCCTCTCGATGTACGAGACCTCCTTGAGAAGGCATCCGTTCATCGTGACTGGCGGACGTTGTGGTCTGATCGGTGGTGATGGAATGTATGAACCGATCTTCTCCTCTTCGTATAGACCCATTGATCTCTTCAGTATCTCCAGTAACCTTTTTGAGGCCTCCAACAAGAAGGTCGTCGATAACCTGGATAGGCACAATCTCTTATGCGACGAGAAATATGAGTATCGATCAGCCTGATCCCCTGTTGATGTCCTAACTACCATTACACACTGAATTAGTTAGGCCCTTGACGACACACGTACCGTAAAGACCATAGTATTACTTATCTCGAAGGCCTTCAAAAAAGTGTGGCACAAAAGTTGGCTACTCCAGCTCTCTGGTTACTGAAGCACTGGAAGGGCTTTCTCTATTATAAAATACTTCCTAACAGATAGAACCCTGAAAGTAATTATTAACGAACAGTCCTGTGAGGACTTCGTGGTCAACGCAGGCGTCCCCGGAGCTCACTTCTCGGGCCAATCTTCTTTCTGAATTGTATAAATTGTCTACTTAAGACTATTATCTTTCTATGGCAATGATAGGAAGATATACAGGTGCAGCTATAAATGTCTTGACGATCACAGATTGACAGGTGACCTGTCTTTGAATCTAACACAAACTTGCCCGTGGGGAAACAACTGGCTAGTTGCATTCATTGTCTCAAAAAGGTTACTGGAGATACTGAAGAGATCAATGGGTCTATACGAGAAAGAGGATCGGTTGCCTTTGTTTTTGAAAACCGATCATACAGTTGCCACCTTCCACGTGCTTCTCCTTCAAGCTACAGTTGCATAACTTTGTTAGAATCGGGGATAATTCTGGGTTGATAATCTTAAGGACGACCGCTGAAGTTTAGTCTGGACCAGTGGCTTTTTGGGGGTCGAGGCTTTTGATAAGTCTAGATGCATCTCTTGCAGAAATGAGAATATTTCTGAAATTGTGCACAGTGAGAAGTCGTAGGTTTCCCTGAGAGTGCGGAGTGTACGACCTTTGTCATCTAACGTTGAGTTATTTTTAGGAAAAGATGGAGGCGAAAACCTTCATCTTGTCTATTGAGGATGATATATTCTCGGGAGCAATTGTAATATTAGACACAGCAGCTTAGCCTCTGTTAAAATATTGCTGATCATTTGTTACAGCAGGGTTAGAGAAGTGTCGAGGCGGTTCACCAGCTGCTCAGTCGCTTCCGGTGCTCGGATGCGTTCTTCAATCATCTGCAATGGAGATGTCTATGCAATATCTGATTTCTCCATTGATTTGATAGAGCGGACTAACAACTCTTTGTGGTGAACATTGAAGTCACCGTATATGTGAAATTTAGCCGATGGAAATTCAGTGAATCATCTGATATTCGACCGATAATTACAAACCCCTCATCTTGAGGGCGATACATGTGTGGCACCCTGCATTATTAGAAAAACTAAAAAGAAATATTCCTAGAAATATGATTTAATTTTTATTCGGTTTATTAACCAGTTGTTAGTTATTTAGACGAAGAGTAATTAAGTTTTGAGAATATTTCTCTAATTGTATTTAGGCGATCCTAAGGGAAGAAGAAGAAAAGAAAAAAGGAGAGGAGGAGAAATAGATAAGCCGGTCATAAGCGAAAACAGGTGTCAAGAGATATCTAGGCCAACGCGCCTGACCGAATTTCAAGAACAATGGAAATTGTTATTATTAAGAATAAGTCTAGAGATAATGAAAGAAATAAAAAGAAAACAGACATGGTAAAAGTGAATGAACATACGTACGATTGATAAAAATATCGGTCAAAACATCTGGCCTACTTTTGTGTCCACGGAATGTAGAAGCTCATTATCAATTTGGAGAAATGGGATTTTTTAGAACAATGGAAAACTAAACATTACTCGGAAAGGGGTGTCTTTGGAATGAGAAGGTGATCGCTGGAATTGTATACAGATCCTGACCTGTTGAAGATTAGAACCCCCACGATGATGAAGTGAGGATATTTTCAATTCAGATAATTAAGATTTTAACTGTCAGGCCTGAACGAAAATAAAGGAATGAAAACAATTGTTTTGGCTCACAGAAAGCGCCAACGAGACGAGAAAAATTCTTCCTGAAGTCACATCTAATTAGCGGCGGGCTGTTTTGACAAAAGCCAAAAGGTGAGAAGGGCCGAGATTGTCATTTTCGTGCGTGCGAAAAAGGCCAAATTGGATTTTTTTTTTTAGCAAGGTGTCTCTTTCCCAGAACAAAGCCGGGATAGACCACGCCCGATTGGAGACGTCACGTAGGACGGAGACGCCCAACCAGAATCTCATTAGCCGAAAGCGGTCACGTGATATGCGAGAAAGAGGAGAAAGGACGCTCGACCAGGACCCATTGGTCGAAAACGGTCACCTGACATACGAGAGACCTGGAGAGATGGGTATGCGCCTCCCCCAGAGGCACTGTGAGGAAGTAGGGGTGAAAATAAGAGCGATAATGGGAAATCAGAACTAATGCGACTTTTGGAATTATCAAGAAAACCCTGGCGCCGACAGACCCACCCCAGTTTGTTGCGGCGTCAATAAAAGCAGGACCCCAATCGACAGAAATCAGAGAGTTGCGGGGTAGACGGCCAGAGCAGTTGGAGAGCGGACGGCGGGCCCTGCTCATTCGCCCCTTGCAGGCAAGAAGGGCCGGTCCGTTTGGCCCGGACAGGCAGAGAAGTCGCAGCCAAGTCGAAGAGAAGAAAATTGCTCGAAAGTCGCAGAGAAGTTGGAGCAGAATTGCAGGCCAGACAGGCCGAAGAATTGCAGGCCAGATAGGCAGAAGAGCTGCAGGCCAGACAAGCAGAAGAGCTGTAGGCCAGATAGGCAGAAGAGCTGCAGGCCAGACAAGCAGAAGAATTGCAGGCCAGACAGGCAGTAAAGTTGCAGGCCAAACAAGCAGAACAGTTCAGCCCCGGAAGGCAGAGAGAAGAGATCACCTCAGACGGCAGAGAGAAGAGTTCGGACCTTGGCGAGAAGAGTTGCAGGACGGAAGAAGAAGTTACTTGCAGTTGCGTCTAGAAGAAGTTGAAACCAGGCCAAGCCTGAGGGTGGAAATTCGTCCAACCCAAATCGAAGTGAAGAAATACGTCCAACTCAAGCCGAAGCGAATAAGAATCAGCCGTGAACGACTGGTAGAGATTAGCGCCCAGTGTCGAAACCAAACCACACTCCGACATACAAAATTCTAGAGAGTAGGCAACTCGAAGTCTTTAAATTGTATGATAGAAGCTTGGTGCCACAGTCCACAAAACGGGTCGGGAAGTAAGAATAATTTTTATGTAAAGAACATTAGATATAAAAGGTTGTTACCCTTTTTTATCAGTAATTTTTTGCCTCGTGAGTTTTTTTTTTCTTTTGCTTGTGTGTTGCCACCCCCGTTTAACCCAGCTGGCATACGGCCCCGTCTGTCTAAGATCTAATCACAACGTGGGTAGGCAGACCGGAGATCAGTACAGTTACCCTAGTAACCAGGTGTTGGAAGCGAGTTGGGAACGGCGAGGCTGGTAATCATCTAACCAGAGGGTTGGAACGTCACACTTGGAGCGAGGAGCGAACAACTGACGTCGCGGCAAAAAACGTCACAACTGGTGCTGTCCGTGACAAGGATCGACCCTTCGGCGGCCACATCACGTCACGTCACAGTTGGAGCCGCGAACGAGATCGAACGACAGAGTCGACGCTGCGACCAAGGAGAGGCGACGTCACAGGCGAAGACTATGTGTAAGTGCAACATGGAAACACACATCCAGGATATCAGGGTCCTCGTTTTGTTTGTGCCTGCCACAGGAAAACACGTCCTTGATGTAGGCACCGAGTCCACGACCGTGGCGATTTAGTTAGTCGTATTGATTTTATAATGTGAGTATAACCTGGGATTGTTAGCTCCTGCATTGGGATCGAGGCATTGATACTCGTTTCAGACAGGAGCAGGAGTTTCTGTTGAGTTTGAAGAAGCTGTAGTATCACTTCTAGAAAGTCGGAACGTAGACCCTTTACATTGGTGGAAGAAATGGTGTAACAGGGGTTTAATGTTGGAAGTTGGATTTGCATTTTTTGTTTGTTTTCATTTTGATTGCTTTCATGTTTGTTTTGTTTGGTTTAGTACATGAATAGTAGTCAGTGCAGCTGACACCCACTGAAGATGTACGCTAAATAACCTGGTTTGACTCGCAGAAGATACTGCCGTAACAGAACCTATCATAATGCCATCGAGTGGTCCCACTGGCGACTGCTGCACTGTCCAGAAACCATTCACAAAACGGCAGTACAGCGGAACCGATATTACACACCTGCCGAAAGAACAGCTTCCTTCGAAGTTACTCGAAGTTTCAGGACTTCATTGAGCTAATTTTGTTATGTTGGTAGGACTATAAATTCGCACGCCAGAGGGTTGCAGGGAATTTTAGAATTTTTTCAACCTAATTGCTTTAGAGTCTTTTCTTTTTTATTTCTATCACTTTTACAAGTATGTATTCCACACTGTGATATTAAAGCATCTGCAAGGAATGTTGAAATGTTGTAAGAGCCAGGGGGCAAATTTAATGTAGATGGCCTTGCGATTAAGGCTCTCTCTAGACATTTACGTCGTTTTGAATTTTTCTCTCTTGATCATGATAACAATGTTTATGTCAAAGTTCTGGTCAGTCTAGTTTGGGTGAGCAACCAAAGCATTTGATGTATTATTTTGTAAAATGTCCTTTTTATTTAGATTCTTTGAGGTTTCTCCCATGTATTTTTTGTGACAACTAATGCAGGCGATGAAGTAATCTACTCTTTAATGTTTTAGCATATTGTTTTGTTTATATATATATATATATATATATATATATATATACTAGCAGCGTGGCCCGGCGTTGCCCGTGCTTGATTACAAAATCGTACGACTCATACAGCAATCGCTATCACTTGACTTAAAATATTTTTGCCCTTCCTTGCCTTTAAAGGAATACCCTTTGCCTTGCTGATGTTGTTACATGACTTACTTCTTGCCTATCTCACGCGAATTTTTTCAAAGCTCATTACTAAACATTAAATCTGTCACGAAGAGAGAACTAAACAAAATGAACACAAAACGATCAGCTTTAAAAAAAGCACTCGTAACTGGAAAAAAACGAATGATAAAAGAATGTTAACAACAAATACTTTTTCACACCCAACCCAGTTCTGCGGAATCAGAATCAACATTGAGTTTAAGCAAGCGAATGAGCCAACTGGAGTAAAGTGCCATGCAGATTTAAATTTTTCCCACTTGTGACGAATGCAGCTATCGTTTTTTTTTTTTTTTTTTTGCATGCTAGCATGCTAGTGAACATTCGTGTCATTCAGCCGTTGGCTCTCATGCTGGCCAATAGAATCTTCCTGCCTATTCGTGGCAGGCAGCTATAGGCTCTCACTTTGGCCAGTAGAAAATGGCCGCAAACTACATGAAAACTGCCGTAGAAGCATGAAAAATCGATTATTTCCACTATCGTTGAGAGTTGGGAAATGTAGTCAGTCTTGGCCTTACCGCTAACTTGGAGCATGTGCATGTAAATTTTGGTGCAAATCCGTCGAAAATTGCGGCTGTGCATTCGTTACAAACACACATCCGGCCTTATATATATATATATATATATATATATATATATATATATATATATATATATATATTGTATTGAGCACTTTTTTATTATTTTAGCTGTTGGTAGGGAGAGCTTTACCTTTGATTGTGGTAGATGCTATTTTCAGTACCCTAATTATTTTATTAGATGCTTCTGTCAGTATCCTAATTATGTTATATTCAATGTTTTGGGGTTTTTTTAAGCATTTCACCCCAAGCAAGTCAGCAGTTACCATTATCACACAGTGGGTTATGGAGAGTGAAAATGAGAGAAAAGTGTGGGTGTAGGGGGGATTGAAGAAAGGAAAAAGAACAGGTATCAACACAACAAAACATGGTGACTGATGCTGCATTTAGGTTTTTGATGATTGTAGTTATCAGGGAATCAAGTGAGAGGAATGGAGTTACAATATGGAGAAGTGCGAAGAAAGAAACTGTTAGAAGGGCGGTTATATTTAACTATTTCAACAGTAAAAAGTTGGGACCTAGATGCCAATCTAGTAGTGCACTTAAATTCATGTAGTCAGGCCACCAGGGGAAAATGCTCATCAGTGCAGTAGCCATGAAAATATTTGTAGAAAAGACAGAGGGAAGCCACATCACGTCTGTGAGAAAGCGGCTGAAGTCATAAGCTAATTCAGTACCGATTACATTACAGATCCTACTTTAGATTTTTTTGAGAATATTGCAGTAAGAGAAGTAGGGGAAAATTTTATGGATAAAACTTTAACTGCGCAACCAGTAATAAAAATCACAGAAATGCAATCTATGTTGTTATTCATTTAAACATCATCATCATTTAATAGTAATAAAAAATATATATATATAATATAATTAAAGAAATAATAATAGTAATAAAAAGTAATAGACAGATACACACATATACAATACACATAAACATATATACATACATATATATAAACTTACATAGTTACAAACCTAACATATATTTTTCAGTGTTTGATGCAAAATAAATGTCTATTTTTAAGACAATATAAACTTATTTTTATGATGACATTTAAGTATAATTTCATTTCTCTGGTTCAATAACTGGCTTATATTTTTATACATAATTATTTTATTTTTTTCTTCCAGGCATAGTTTACATCTGTTTTATATATATATATATATATACACACACATATATATATATATATATATATATATATATATATGAATTAAGATCAAAGATAGGAATGAGGAATGCAAGAGAATGATAGGATAAGGGACAAATAGGAAATCTTTATAAATCTGACATGCTTTGCTTTTATTAACACTTGAGATGTGGAGGTTTATTTTCCACGAATGTCGGCCAGGTGAAGGTGAGAGGGGGAGCATGACGCGGTGTTTAGTCATTTCCCCACGAGAATGAGATGTGACACATGGTCGGATTAATGTGGGGTCACGAGCGCGTACACTCAGGCAGGGACAAAAATTCCTCTCAGCCCACGCAACCGTCGGTTGCGCCGGCCTCGGTGCGAGCACCGATCCCTCCCTATTGCGCAATGGGAGGGTGCGGCCTAGGGCAGCTGTTCCCCAGGGCTGGGCACCTCTGCAGTAAAATCTTCCTCAGTTGCCCCTCTGTACTTTGACAGAGAAGCCCCTGAGCGCACTCGCTCCAAGGACAGAGACGCAAATGAGAGATGATAAATAGTGCGCGTACACCCCTCCAAAGAGGGGGAGCACATCGCTGTATTTACTCATTCCCACATGAGAATGAGATGTGACGCAAGGTCGGATTAATGTTGTGACCCGAGCGCGTACACCCGGGCAGGGACAAAAATTCCCCTCAGCCCCCGCAACCGTCGCTTGCGCTGGCCTCGGTGCGAGCACCGATCCCTCCCTCTTGTGCAATGGGAGGGCGTGGCCTCGGGCAGCTGCACCTCAGGGCTGGGCACCTCTTCAGTATAATTTTCCTCAGTTGCCCCTCTGTACTCAGACAGAGAAGTCCCTGGGCGCACTCGGTGGAAGAAATCGGCTGTGTTTATGTCGGCTGCTGTTAGCATCGTAGCTGGTTGACAATATCTTTTGGTTGATGTAAGTAAGATATATATATATATATATATATATATATATATATATATAAATAAATAAAAAAAAATAAAAAAGTAAAATCTAATTCAAGCTCTATTTCTGTATGGAGCGCTGTTTTTGAAAAAAAAAATACTAAATAACTCCAGATTATTTACCTAACGTTTTGTTTCCTATGTTCCTACATATCCACACACACACACACACACACACACAAACACACAAACACACACATATATATATATATATATATATATACACGTGTGTGTGTATATACTTGCCTCAATGCAAGGCTTACAGCAAAAATTTACTTGGAAATAAAACAGAAATTTAAAAAATATATAACAGGAATTTAAGAAAATTCAAACAAATTTAAAAAGTTTAGAAATAAAAATGGTAACATGATTCAGTTAAAGCAATAAAAAGTTAGTTAGTAAAAGATAGGCGAAGCATTTCTTGGGTGGAGTCTTGACCAAAATCTAGCAGACGCATAATATCAAGGCGCTTTCATGGAAGGGTATCAACGAACTATCTTTCTAGAATAGAACCGGTGTAGGAATCGCTTTTTATCGAGAATTCTGTCACTCGATATATATATATATATATATATATATATATATATATATATATATATATATATATATATTTACGTATGGATAGTGGTTTGGGTTTGCATAAAAAAACTTATTTGTGTATATTAATCTATAGGAAGACTGACATTGTAATATTTCTCGCTATAATAAGAGCAAAATATCCTCAAAGTGATTGTTTTCTTATAGAGTGAGGAATCGTATATCTTCTCACAAGATTGCTTGTCCTGACGACTGGTGGCTCTCTATTAAGTAAGCCTAAGTTCTCGTTCTCAATTCTCGTTTCCTCTTTTTAATCAATAAATCAGAATCCTTTGCCCGCAAATAATATTCCAAATCTATCCTCGTCTCATCAAGAATATCCTTGCCTGAATTTTTTCCTTGGAGATTCAGTCTTTACCGTGTGATTTGCATATAATCCTCTCCAGACTGGATGGTGTCCTTGAGAAATTCTTAAGAAATTTGCTCCTGAAATTGACCTTGTTATCTCCGGTCTCTACAATAGATCACTTGCTGATTCTTGCTTTCCATATTGGCGGATTTTTTTTCTCTAGTGAATCGTCTATCCTACTAACTATTAGATTAATTACTAGAAGCTCTAATCAACATCAAATTAGGCATCTCTTCTCGCGGGGTTTTCGTTCGGACAAAAAATATGGATTTCGTTTCTTTAGGTCAACTCCCGATGTTTTGACGGTCATTGCAGAAAAAGGCTGTCAAGAGACCGGGATAAGAACGGCAAATAGCAGGAAGTTGATTTACATATCTCGAAGGCGTTTGACAGGATTTGGTATGATGATTATCTTCCCAAATTAAAGGGTTATTTTATTTATTGCTGTTTCTGACGGGTTCTTTCATCTGATTATATCTTTCATATCAAACCGTGGAATGAAAGTTATTTTAGATCGCCACTGGATCTTTTACTATTAATGCAAGCGTCCCACTGTCTTATTTTCACCAACAACCTTCCTAATGCAATCAGTTCCCGCCTAGGGATCTATACCAATGATAAAACTATTTACCTCTGTCTTAATAGTAATTGAGATAGGTTCGATAAAATTAAATATCCTATAATCTAGTATTAGCAGGGTCAAGGATTAGAGTGTTAACTCTGAAACAAGACTGTCCGCTGTTAATCATTTTAAAGAAACAATTTTACTTTCATTAGCAAAGCTGATGCTAAACTCCAGTAGAGCAACTCAATGTGCATTCTTAACCATACATTTTCCACTCACATGAAGTAAAATAGTTACATTGAATCAATTGCTAATTCTACTACCAGCCCTTGGTATGACGATAAACTACATCGGCGCCCTGTGTAAGACAATAAACTACGTCCAACTGCAAGGCCTCTGATCAGAAGGTTTTGAAGAGCGTGGAATCACCTCTTAATTGTTGGGGTTCCCAGGTCCACCTTGATCCGGGGTGGTAGCACCTGTTACGGCCCCAGCTATGGATAAATAGTTAACCCCCCCAAGCTGAGGTCAAACACTATGGAAGCATAAAAATAGGTTTTAATTCCAGAATTTTTTTGTAAAAAATATTATTAGCAATAAATTTTTGAAGAAAAATTATTACCAGGAATACATTTTTAAAAAAACTTATTACCTGCAATTCGTTTTTGAAAAATATGTTACCAGCAATCCACTTCAAAAAAATTAGCAACAATACATTTTTAAAAAATTACCAGCTATAGATTAAAAAAATTACCAGAAATACATTTAAAAATAAAATATTACCAACAATAAAAATCTTGTCGGCATTAAATAATCCATTGATATTGATATGACGTAAAACAAAAGAAACCAAACCAATGTAAGTCGACTCCTAGGGAAGGCATTTTTTTCTTTGTTTTTTTTTCTTTTTTTGCCAGAATCTATATTTACATATTCACCATTCTACAGTGCATTTAATATTATATCCACTACTGGACAAGTTCTTCAATTTCTGTCTAAAGATTCTTGACATAACCCAAAGAAGAAACGCCATTTAGGCCTCAGATCCATTCCCGTCGCGTTAAATGGAGGTTCCTTGTGTATTTCTATAACTATTTTGACTATAATCGTTCTGACGATATTTTCCTGTGTGTACATTGCACACATAGATTGACAATCAGGTCTCATAATTTGCTGGTTAAAATTGATATTTGTTTCTTCTCTCGTATTTCTTGCGGAACTCCGTGTTCTTATATTCCTGTCAACTACGATCTTTATAAATTTATATGCAAAGCCCATCGTCATTGTCTGCCGCTTTGATGTGTTCTTTTATTTTTCTCTGTATTTCTTTCACTTTCAGTAACCCCTTGCATCCTGATGGGATTTTATTGCCTTAAATGAAGTGAAATTATTAAAATGAATAAATAACTACATAAATAAAATTATTGATTTTTTATGAGTTACCAGATAGATCTATAACTACATAAATATGAACCAGTCATGACAGATAGATAGATAGATAGATAGATAGAGAGAAAGATAATCAGCGTCATTCGGAACAGCATAAATGTTACGGCTTTTAAGATATATGCACTGTTGTCTCGACTCTCGATTAGTTATCCTACGGCCATTGCCTGTGATAGACGTTACTCCAAGGAAGCGTACGAAAATTGAAACGATGTACGAACAAACTGGCAAGCCGTACTAGTGAGCAAATCAAAGTAATATAGAATGGTCCGGAAACTCTCCTGATTTAAATCCAATCGAGACTCTTTGATCAATCTGCAAGGAACGACTTCGTGGAATGGACATACGAAGTACTAACATGTGCATTTGGTCATGTTTCATTGGAAAAATACAAAAAAATGTAAATAATGGCGGAATTATTCGTTTTGTTTCAATTAATTTACACAAGGTTGTATTTTTTTGTTATCTGATGTTAAATTTTGCTTATACGTGAACTGTATTTTATGTATCAGTAAATAATTCACAAGTGCATCACAGTGCCATGTCGATCTAGAATTACTCACAGCCGAAGTGAAATTGCACTGAGAGTTCTTTTTCTTTTCTTTTTTCTCGCTTTCTTGATGCTTCCTGTATTTTTCTTACAGATGAAACTCGTATGCTAGCGGCCTTGCATGTCATGTTCCTTTCTTTCTGAACAATACAACAGCCCAATATGCGTCTTATTTTTTAACGTCAAAAATTCAATCAATACGGCTTTCCTCTGATGTCGGTTGCTGTAAAAGCAATAATGAATCCTTCAGACACTCCCTCTATGTTTGGAGCATTATGGAGGATACTAATGCCATCCACAATATAAAGTATTTACTGAAGCAAAGTCATGCAGGAGGAGAGGAATAAGGCGGGGCCATTACATAACAGAAAAGCTAACGAACTTCTTAATTAAAAAAATAAATTTATAACAACTTGAAAATACCCAGCAGAAAAAC